TAAGGATTCTACTTTGCTTAGGACTTAATCTTGTTGTTGTTGTTGTTATGTGCTGTCGAGTCGGACCCGACTCACAGCGACCCCTCCTTGGGTTGCCGAGGCAGTATCACTACAGAAGTAGATTGCCCAACCTTCCTTCCGAGGAATGGCTGGTGGATTTGAACCACCAGCCTCCTGGTTAGTAGTCAAGTACCTTAGGAACTATGCTACCAGAGCTCCTGGACTTAATTTTAGTGCCCTTGTAATGTTACAATTGAAGGCTAGAGGGTCCAAAATTAGAGTATCTCAGTGACATCCTTTCATAAAGTTCTTATTGCTTTGTGTGTGTGTGTGTGTGTGTGTGCTTTTCCAGCACTCTTCTCTTCAGGACTTTGAATATCTAGAAACATGGCCAAAAGGACACTTCACACTTATGGATGAGAGGACATATCTTCTATTAAGAACTTGATTAGCTTTCATGTTTTGACTTTCTAAGGGGGACAGTTATCAACTATCTTTTTTCTTTTTTTCAAAATCAGAACTCAGGACATAATATTTGAGAAGGATTTTTAAAAGCACTTCCTGGTTCAAGAGGCAGTCTGGAAGGTTTAATTTTTTGAGGAGGTTAATAACTCACTGCCTTTGCGTCAGATCCAACCCACCTTGGGTTTCTGAGGCAGTATCTCTATGGAAGTAGATTGACCAATCTTCCTTCCGAGGAGTGGCTGGTGGATTTGAACCACCAGCCTCTTTTTAGCAGTCAAATGTCTTAGGCATTATGCCACCAAAGAGTGCAAAATGAAGTAGTTGTTCCCCAACCCCACCCCCCAGGACACATAGTCATGGTGCATATTAGTCAATGAGAACATTGTGGCTAGGTTCTTTATCCTACTGCTGTGTGTGTGTGTACGTGTGTGTGGAGGGGAAAGAGAATAAGAAGGGAATGGATAATTTCAATCCTTACAAAAAGATAAGTTTTCTATTGTAGAAGAATTCTGCCTTAGCTAGTGCTGCTATAACAGAAATACCACAAATGAATGGCATTAACAAACAGAAATTTATTCTCTCAGAGTTTAGGAGGCCAGAAGTCTGAATTCAAGGCACCAGCTCTGGGGAAGGCTTCCTTTCTCTGTCAGCTCTGCAGGAAGGTCCTTGTCTCTTTTCAGTATCTGTGGGCCCAGCTTTTCTTAGAGATCTCCATGTGTCTTGGCATCAGTCTTTCCCTGGGTCTAGGAATTTCTCAGCACAAGGACTCCAGGTCCAAAGAATACACTTAACTTCCTCCTCTCTACTAACTTCCCTCTCCTTTTATCTCTTGTAAGATAAAAGGTGACTCAACAAGAGTGTGTCTTGAGTAAACGTGGTGATTTGAGTAAGAGTGGGACTTGAGTCATTCCCTCCTGTAAGGCTGTGACTCATGATACAATCCACCCTAATCCCACCTCACTAACATATAGAGGTTAAGATTTACAACACACATCACAAAATGGAAGATAATTACATCAGATCACAAAATGGAGGGTAACCACACACTACTGGGAATCATGGCCTAGCCAAGTTGACACATACATATTTTGGACAGACACAATTAGATCCATGACAAATTCCCAGGTGGTTAGTCTTTCCAGTAGAACTAACAAATAAAATTAAATAAGTAGAGATAGGCTTGTGTCTTTTAGGAACAATTTAAGTCAAGAGGAATTCTTTTTTTGGTAGCTATTGTAAACAGTATTGATTTCCTTACTTCTTTTTCAGAAATCTCTTTGCTGATGGAGAGGAATCCAACTGATTTTTGGATGTTGATCTTTTATCCTGCCATGATGCTAAATCTCTCAATTAGTTCCAGTAGATTTTTGACTGAGTCTCTTGGGTTTTCTAGGTATAGGATCATATCATCAGCAAATAGGGATAGTTTGACTTCTTCCTTACCAATTTGGATGCCTTTGATTTCCCTTTCTTGCCTTATGGCTCTGGCTAGGACTTCCAGTACAATGTTGAATAGAAGTGGTGATAGCAGGCATCCTTGTCTGGGTCCTTTTCTCAAGAGGAATGGTTTCAGTCTCTCTCCATTGAGAATAATGTTGGCTGTTGGTTTTGCATAGATGCCCTTTATTACATTGAGGAATGTCCCTTTTATTCCTGTTTTGCTGAGAGTTTTTATCAGGAATCAGTGTTAGATTTTATCAAATGCCTTTTCTGCATCAATTGATATGATCATGTGGTTCTTCTCCTTTGTTTTATTTATGTGGTGGATTACATTGATTGTTTTTCTAATGTTGAACCATCCCTGCATGCCTGATATGAACCCCACTTGGTCATAATTAATGATTTTCTTGGTATGTTGTTGGAGTCTATTGGCTAGGATTTTGTTGAAGATTTTTGCATCTATATAAATGAGGGATATTGGTCTGTAGTTTTCCTTTTGAGTGATATCTTTGCCTGGTTTTGGTATCAAGGTTATGCTTGCTTCATAAAATGAATGGGGAGGATTCCATCCTTTTCTGTGTTTTTGAATAGTTTGAGTAGGATTGGTATCAGTTCTTCTCTGAATGTTTGGTAGAATTCTCCAGTGAAACCATCTGGGCCAGGACTTTTTTTAGTTGGTAATTTTTGATGACCTGTTCAGTTTCTTCTTTTGTGATGGACCTGTTCAACTTTTCCACATCAGTCTAAGTTAGTTTAGGTAAGTGGTGTGTTTCTAGAAATCTGTCCATTTCTTCCAGATTTTCAAATTTGTTGGACTACAGTTTTTCATAGTATCCTGATATTATCCTTTTTATTTCAGTTGGTTCTGTTGTGATGTCACCCATTTTGTTTCTTATTCGGGTTATTTATATTCAAGAGGAATTCTTGACACAGCTAAGAATGACTGAAACCTGGGTACTAGTTTTGATATTTGGACACAATGTTTCCGTCAAATTCCTTCCTTTCCTCCCCTTTTTCTTGGCTACTGTTTATAGAGTGCTTATCATTCACCATTATTTTATCATTGATATATGTATCATTCATACATTATGCTGTTGTTGTTAGGTGCAGACTCATAGCGACTCCATGCACAGCAGAACGAAACACTGCCCAATCCCGCACCAGTTCCATGATCCCTGCTATACTTGAGCCAATCATTGCAGCCACTGTGTCAATCCATCTCGTTGAAGGCCTCCCCCTCTTTCGTCCACCCTCCACCCTACCAAGCATGACATTCTTCTCAAGGGAATGGTCCCTTCTAATCATCCCATACATTATGCTAAGGACATATATTTTTTATTTTTTCAGTGTTTGCTCCTCTGCCTTCCCACCCCTACTAACCAACAAAGAAAGTTTCCTTCCATATATAAACCTTTCCTTGACTTTTTACAATAATGAACTAATACAATATTTGTCCTTCTGTGATTGACTTATTTCACTCAGCATTATGTCCTCCAAGTTCATCCACATTATGTGGTGTTTTGCAGATTCTACATTGTTGTTTAGTGTTGCATAGCATTCCATTATGTGTATGTACCATAGTTTGGTTATCCATTCTTCTGTTGATGGGCAGGTAGGTCATTTCCTTCTTTTTGCTATTGTAAATATGGGTGTGCATATATCTCTTCTTGTCCTGGGTCTCACTTCTTTAGGATATATACCTCATAAGGGGATTGCTGGATCAAAGGGTATTTCTAATTCTAACTTTTTAAGGAATTGCCATATTGCTTTCCACAGTGGTTGTATCATTTTACAGTCCCACCAGCAGTCCATGAGAGTCCCAATCTCTTCACATCCTCACCAGCATTTTATTTTCTATCTTGTTGACTTTGCTATTAGTACTAGGGTGAGATGGTATCTCATTGTTGTTCTGATTTGCATCTCTCTAATGGCTAATGATTGCGCACATTTCTTCATGTGTTTGTTGCCACCTGAATATCCTCTTAGGTGAAGTGTCTATTCATGTCTTCTGCTCATTTTTTAATCGGATTGTTTGTCTTTTTGTTGTTGAGGTGTTGGAATTTTCTATAAATATCAGAGATAAGTCTGTTGTCAGATATGTCATTGCCAAATATTTTTTCCTAATCTGTAGGTTCTCTTTTGACTCTTTTACAGAAGTCTTTTGAAGCACACAAAAATTTAATTTTTAGAAGGTCCCATGCGTCTAGTTTATCTTCAGCTATTTGTGCATTTGGGGTTATGCTTGGCAGTCTATTTACCCATAAATTGTTGTTGTAGTTATGTGCCGTCGAGTCGAACCCGACTCGTAGCGACCCCTCCTTGGGTTTCCGAGGCAGTATCACTATGGAAGTAGATTGCCCCATCTTACTTCCAAGGAGTGGCTGGTGGGTGTGAACTGCCAGCCTTCTGATTAGCAGTCAAGTGCCTTAGGCACTATGCTACCAGAGGTCCTATGCCATAAATTAGGGCCCCTAAATTTGCCCTTATTTTTTCCTTGAGGAACTTTATAGTTTTAGGTTTCACATTTAAATCTTTGATCCATCTGGGGTTAATTTTTTATATATAGTGTGAGGTACAGATATTGTTTCATTTTTCTGCAAATGGATATCCAGTATTGCCAGCAGCATTTGTTAAAGAGACCGTCTCTTCCCCATGTAATGGATTTCAGCTCTTTTTCAAAAATCAGCTGACCATAGGTCGATGGATCTATTTCTGGGTTCTCAATTCTGTTCCACTGCTCTATGTATCTGTTGTAGTACCAATACCAGAATGTTTTGACTACTGTGGCTGCATAGTAGGTTTTGAGATCTGGGAGTGTGAGACCTCCTAGTTTGTTCTTCTTCTTCAATAGGCTAAGCACTTACATTATCTCATTTAATTTTCACACAAACTTATGATAGAAGTGTGATTATTACCTCCAAATGATATACAAGTAAATCAAGGCTCATCAAGGTTGGGTAACTTGCCCCAGATCAGACAGAGGGAAAAAGGTGAAACTATAGTTCAACCCCAGGTCTCTCTGGTTCTAGACTTTGACCTCTCAATCATCATCTCATACTGCTTCCTCACTGAACTTTTTCTGTTTTTGTCCCTAGGGACAGGATGAGAACTTCAGTCAATGTTGTGGGTGACTCTTTTGGGGCTGGAATTGTCTATCACCTCTCCAAGTCTGAACTGGATTCTATTGACTCCCAGCACCAAGTGCATGAAGACATTGAAATGACCAAAACTCAATCCATTTATGATGACATGAAGAACCATAGGGAAAGCAACTCTAATCAATGTGTCTATGCGGCACACAACTCTGTCATAGTAGATGAGTGCAAGGTACCATTCCCATTTTTGGATATCGAGACTTGTATATAGTAGTGCATGCTCAATTTCATACAGAACAAGCACCAAAGCCCTGCATGTATTATTGTCACATTTATTTTTCTAAAGAATCATGTAATCCAAGCTTCTATGAGTCCCAGATCATTTAACTCTGTGTCTAACATGTTGGGAAATCAACAGGTCTAACAGTAAAAGAGCCAATCAACTGCTCATTTCATCTATGTGATGAAAAACAACCATTCTGATTTCCTCATTCACCCACTTCACTAATTTGATCAGGTTTCTTGAATAGTTTTTCAAGAATTTATAGTTGCTAGAGCTTTGCTAAGGGGCTCTGGTAGCATATTGCTTAAGACATTTGACTGCTAACCAGAAGGTTGGCAGTTCAAATACTCCAGTCATTCTTCAGAAGGAAGACTGGGCAATCTGCTTCTGTAAAGATTTACTGCCTTGGAAACTTATGAGTTGGAACCGACTCCATGGCAGTGAGGTTTTTTTGTTTTGTTTTGTTTTGTTTTTTTGAGAGCTTTGCTTGCTTTCAAACATTTTATTATTCAAGTAAAACACCAAGAAGTACTCAGCATCCTTTAATTTATAATGTACCAATTTTTCCTCCTTGCTGTAAATCTCGTATTGGTCCAAAGGTGCCCACATAACTTCACACAACTATCTTCCTGTCCTTTTTTTTTTTTTTGTGAGAGGGGTGAGTTTTAACCTGTTAATTACTTTGCTCCAAGAAGGAGAAAGCAATTTCAAGTAAAGATAACTATCTTTCAGAACAGTTATCTGAAGATTTGAAAAACTAACAACAACAATAAAAAAACCACTTTTGAGTGGTGTAGATAGTTAAAGACACTTAGGTGCTACCCGGGTGGAAGCTCAAGTCCATCCAGAGGCACTTCAGAAAAAAAGCAGGTGATTTACTTCCAAAAAACCAGCCATTGAAAACTCTGTGGAGCTCAGTTCTGCTCTGGCATATATAGGGTTTCCATGACTCGGAATTAACTCAATGGCAACTGGTTTTTACATCTCACACACTGCCTGGAAGCCCCATCTTTCCTGCAACAGGATGTTCTGGGCTCTCCTCCAGGCTGTTGGGTGCTAGCATTACAAGCTTGATGGGCTCTGTCTAGCCTTCACTGTAACTAACCTGACATTGTGAAAAAATAGTATGACCAGAGTGAAGCAAATTTGAAGAAACCTTGCAGGTGAACAAAGAGACAACTCTAAGTGTTGGTTTACTAAAGTGGTTCCAGGCAGCAGCTGAGGACAATCCAAACCCAACACAAGTATCTGATATCTCTTGGATCCCTGTTGATAAGACCTCATTTAGAAGCTAATTTCTTTGTTATTTCTGGGTCATTCCAAATAAATACCATGGCTTCTGCCAGGCAACTAAGGAGACAAAGAAGCAAATCTCTTTAGCAAACTGAAAAAATAGGTCCAGAATTCTAGTGGACCATCCACAGTGTTTTGCTCATCCCCTCTATATTAGGTACTTGTGTGGGTGAACCATGGCTCAAACACAAACTAGGAAGGGAATCCATCCATCTAGAGGCAGTTGCATCAGTGAATTGACACTAAAAATAATTCAAATGATTAGATACTCAGATGTGCTTAAAAGGTACTCTCTTTTCTCCTAGAATGTTAATGTTTCCTGTATCTGAATGAATGTGCTAGGTTATTCCCCATCAAAATGTCAGTTTGGGACCATGAGGACATTGCTTAAGGACACAGGAGAAGTAGAATGCAGGGTCAGCGTTCCCGTGAGATGGCTTCATGCTTTTTTACATTTCGCAAGTGCTTCACTGTGTGCCTTATCGGGTTTAGTTGAGTGTCTCGTCTCATTCCTGTGACTTCTTGCATTTGGCCATTTATTAAGTTTTTGTTGAGCACCTGTTGTCTGCAAAGCCTCAGTTAGATGCTGAAGGATAACAAAATGAATGTGTGATTTCATCGTGGAGATGAGACTTGAACCCAAACTACTACCATACAGAGAGGAAAAAAAAGCAATAAGAAGCAAAGTGAAATTGTCATGAATATATTTTTTATTTTCAATTGTATTTGAAGGTAATCCTAGCATTTAATTGCCTAGGGCATACCCATTTAGGGCTTTTCAAAGAATTTTTGTGTAGGACATGTTTTGAAAAAGAAGGCATAAGAGCATGGAAATAAATTTAGATTTTGTAGTTCTCTGGATTTTTTTTCTTTTCTTAAAAGATGTCAAACACAGTTGAAGAAGTTTGCTTCATTTTCTAATCAAAGTATTCCATAGGAAGTAATCCCATGAGAAAAGAGAATTTGTCCCCATTTTTCACTGTGTGACTTAGCACCTAAAACAGTGCCTGGCATATAGTGGGTGCTAAAACAAAATTGTTGAATGCATTATTTTAGCATCTCAACCTCATGGTTTCATTTCAGATAGTTTTTTCCTGGAAAGTTCCATAAAGTCAAGGGTTCACTCACTCTATATAATTGATTATCCACTCAACCGTATGCAGAATTCTTGCTGAATTAGCATTAGATGGTGAAATGGCCAAGCTGATTGGTCATGAAGATAATGAAAATGGCCATATTGGTTTAATAACCATTTTAGTTGTTTGTATTTTTTTTTGGAGAAGCAATTGGGTTCTGCTCAGTGAAGACTAATTGATCCTTAGTCTTTGTTAGGCAGGTTGATTTTACTCTTGTTGCACTGTATCAATTAACTTGTCGATACTGACATGGGCAGGAGGCACCCAGAGCTTTGGAGATGAATTTACTTCCTTCTCTAGAATATCCAGGTCACATTTGCTCACTCTTTTGAACTTCCTTCGGGTTAATTCTCAATCTCACTGTTTTTCATTTTTTAAAAACTGCAATGGTCTAAGACATCAAGTGTGTAGGGATAGCCCCTCTTCTCTTTGCTTTCCCATTACCCTGGTGGTTGGGACAGAGAGGGGTAGAATGGGTTGGGCAGGAGAATTCCAGCTTCCTTTCACCCAGGCAGGAAAGGAAATCCCAAGAAAGCTGCCCCAGCTACATTGGAAACATAGATCTCAGTCTTTAAAAAAAACAAAGAAACTTCCCCCATATTCCCTCTGGTCCTCCCAAAGGCACCACAGTGTGATTTATAATTTTGTGCTGCTATTGATTTAGTTCATCACTGAAAGCCAAATAGGCACATCCAAGGTCATGGTGGAAAGCAGCTTTCTCCAGACAAACAGGCTGTCCCTGGCAATCTTTCTCGACAGTTCACCAAAGGGGAAACAACTTTGCTGCAGCTCTGGTCAAAACTTTAACCATTTCAAGCATTGTGTTACGCTGGCCTCTCTGTTTTCAAAATCATGCCTGGCACTAGTAGTTTGAAGTTATGCAATAGCTGTTTTATTTTAATCAGAATAACTGCATGTGGAATAATCATTGCTTATTTCACTGTCTGTGTGGAAAAATGTGGGGGCACTTGTAGGGGCTGGAGAAACGAGTGGTTTTTATTTTCATTTGCTTGGTTTGTGAAGGGCACTTGGTTTTCTGTTCCTAGCATGTTGTGTGTGCTCATAATGCATGCATTTCACTTCCACATGGGTAAGAAGAAGGTCAAATTTCTTTCAAACATTGCTGCGTTTGTCATGTCTCCATATCCTAATGCTTCCATAAATCCAGTCTCTCCATTATGTGGAATATCAGTCGTGGGTTTAAGTTTGCACATGACGTTGAGGACAGACAGACAGAAGGTAAGCTAGGAAATTTAGATGTGGAGGGGAAAAACCTCCCATTCTGTGTAAGGGTTCAGTTCACTTTGAGCCAGGAAAACATGATATAGACAGTCTGATGCTTATATATGATTATTAAATACCTACATTGAAATAATTTTGATATACAGAGTCACTGATCTCAGGCTTTTAGTTTATCTCCCTTAAAAAAAAAAAAAAAAAAAAAAATCTTTACAACCTGGACAGCTTATTTGGTAGAATAAAACCACTGTTGTTTCTGATTTTAAAATCTGGCATGTATATAACCCTTCTGGTCTCACTGCAACTGAACCTTTCCCATGCATGAGTAGCTGCCTAGTTCTGAATATGTTCTCCGTGGTTGTATGGAGTAGCACTTGGACACTGTTTTCCAAGGACTGTGTTATTGCGTGATGGTACTATGGGTAGTTAGACACCCCCATGACCTAAAACCATAGTAGAAGTTACTGCCCAAATTGCCAAATATCTGTAGTCCCTCAGTACTACTAAGGCAAATATTTTAATGTTCACAAATCGATGCTGAAAACCAAGATAGGCTCAAAACCAATTTGGAAGGAACAACAATTAAAACAGTATTGAAGTCATACAGCATAGCCTTGCATCTGGTGCTCCTCCAGACAACCCGTGGAGTCTTTTTTTCTGGTTCATGGCCTGTAAGCTGGATGTTGATGATAATTATTTTCAGGTAACTCTGGCAGCCAACGGAAAGTCAGCCGACTGCACTGTTGAGGACGAGCCTTGGAAACGTGAAAAATAAGGATATGACTCAGCAAATTCTTGAATAAACTCCCCAGTGTATCGTATGATAGAGGATGATATGGAGATTAAACAAGATTTCTTTAAAAAAAAAAAAAAGAAAAAAAAAAAAACCTCCTACAGATATTTCTCTGTTTACTTAATCTGTTAGCTGAGGCTTAGAGGAGCTGTTGTGAGTCAATGACGATAGGCACGGTGCTGTGTCTTTGCCAAATAACGCTTCATAACTGTCTAATTTTCTCACTTGTATTATTGTTTGAATGGACGCTGCTGGAGGAGTCAGTTGAATTGAAGACACATCTTGCCGGCTTCCCCTTTCTGTCAAGATGCAGAAATGTGGATGCTCTTTTCCCAGGGGACACAGCTGAAGTGATGTGGTTCACTCCAGGGACTTGGGATAAGGAGCAAACACACAGGGTGTTATTCCTTCAAGTATTCTTTATGTCTTGTCTTGTATTACAAAAGAGATTCTGTTGGAACCCTCTAGAAGTAATTCCCCTCAAATGTTTTGTAGAGTTTGGCACATGTGTTGATTAAAAGCGAGCACCTGTTTTAGGGAACTCTGACAGTTTATCTTCTCTATCCTCTTTAAGTTAAATATTTCAAAGTTTAGTGGGAGCCATAGCCTTAAAGGCAGTAGATTATGGAACTCACTGCATCTCTGCCATACTTTAATTTGTGTGAATAGTTATTGAAAGTTCACAGTATGTTTATAATTAGTGATAAATATGATAATGAGTTAGAAAGTAATTTACATGTGACCACTGTATATATTGATAAAAATAAAGAAGCACAGTCAATATAAATTCTAACCAGACTCATAAATACAGATTTGTTTATATTTGATTTGAATTTACCTGGCATAGTGAAATCAAGTGAGATTATTTGATCTCTGTTTCACTTTCTTGTTTCACCCATAAGATCCTTGTTTGAGAACTAAACAAAAGAGAGATTTTTAATCCCCAGGTGGTTTAGTCTTATGGTTACCAACCTGGAAGGCATGCCTAATCATTTTACTCTCCTCACATATGGAGGAAGATAGTTATATTGGCTGTGCATCTTTTAATACCATCTCTTAAAAACAAGCTAGTGTTTGTCTAATATGCAAAAAGCTTTTTGTTATATTATATAAACTAGATGTGGAACACAGTTGGTAGCAGAGCCAGTCTCCTCCTGTCTTTTCTGTACAAAGGCACAGAAAACAAATGTGCAAAATCCTATAAAGGTGACATTCCTATGGCAGAGTCTAGACAGCCTTAAACCACAATGTGGGATGATTCTACACAACTTAACAGGGGAGATCTTTTCAAGGCTGTGAAAGTTTGAAGGAATACACCATGTATAATTGGAGAAACACAATGCCTTGCATGCTGTAGGCATCCAGTGTATTCCTGTTGATTAATTATGCAAGCTAAAAGTTGGAACGTCTCTACTATCATTTGGGAGCTCTGGTAGCGTAGTGGCTAAGGCACTTGACTGCTAACCAGAAGGCTGGCGGTTCAAACCCACCAGCCACTCCTCGG